TATATATATAAGCTTAATATAAGCTACTAAATCAGACAGAAGTTCTATTTATTCAAATTCAGGAACATTTTAAATTTACAAGCAATAAGGGCTTCCTGCACCTGTAAAATAAAAAAAGTACAGAATTTTATAGGAACTTGCAAAAAACACCAAACAGATGTGTGCAGAGAACCGGTGAACAGAGCTGAATATTTACCTGGAGCATCTGACAGTTCTAGGGTATGGAAAGGATCTGGGACAACCAGCAGTGAGGCTCCTGAGTCCAGGAGAGCAGACGGTCTTTCAGCTGGGACACAGAGGCAGAGACATTTATGAATAAATTGGGATCAGCGTGGAAAAACAAAAGTAAAAACTGCAGTCCAGGGTGAACCTGGCCTCTCACACTGTGACTGTAAACGAGCATCAGCTGCCTGAAACTGTAGACTGAAGACAGAAATGTAGGGTACCTGTTTCTTGAAGAGTGTTTTCCACAGATGAGGCCTGCAGACCTGGTATCAGCTCTTCAGGTGATGCTGCCTCAGAATCTGACAGTAAGTCTAGTGCAAAACAACAACTTATTCATAAGACTTGGGTTTTACTGGCATTCCAATCCTTGCTGTTTTTATCCACTATTTCCTCTTTTAATGCTTTTGCAACAAAAAATAAAAACAAGTATTACCAGTAGTCTTTTTGTCATCAGTTTTGAACTCCTCAGCAGTGAGGTTGGAGAAGTCATTGTCGTCGAACGGGTTCCACGCTGGCTGAGTCACGGTGTTGGTGGCGGCGGCGGCGGCAGGACCAGTGGATGCAGCTGTGCTTTGGTCTTGTGCTGCATCGCAGAGATTAAGCTGAGCTGACTGGCTTTGTGGAGATGTAAGTGATCTACAAGAAAAATGACACACACATAAATATGCCATAACAGAACAAAGGCAGAAGAGTCACAGTAATAGTAAAAGAGTAATTGTGTCCTCTTTTATTTTGAAAAAAAAAACTTGGTTTTAGACTTTTAAGAAGGACCAAGTGATTTTTCTGTCTTGAGTTTGCACACATAAAACCTCGTAACAAAGATAAACACTTACTGACTGAGAGCAGCACTTCCATCATCTGCTTGCAGCGGCTGTGAGGAGTCGCTGGCTGGAACTGCAGTTTCACCCGGTTCACCTTGGTGGCCTCGCTCTTCAGTCGTCTTTGGAGTCTCAGGTGGAGTCTGATCAAGACGCGTAGATATAACAAGAAGATGAACCAGGCAGTAAACACTACTAACAGCTCCACAGAGCTGTAGCTCAGGTGTTAGAAGGAGAGGGGGAGCTCTTACTGTCTGAGCTGATTTTTGGCTGATCTCAGAGGAAGCGGGCTGCGTTTGGGCAGCTGGCGGCGGAGTTATCTCCTGCAGCAGAGCGGACGCCGGTTTGCTGGGAGAAGGCTGAGCGTCTGGCTGCTGAGCCTGGCTCGTCTGCTTGCGGCGCGCGGGGCGCTGAGGCGGGGCGGGGCTGGACGGAGTCTGTGCGGCCTGCTGGGGAGCGGAGCTGACCACAGAGGGAGGTGTGGTCTGTTGCTGGGATGCTGGCGGTGCTTGCGGTACGGCATCAGCTTTACCCACTTGTGATTCTGCCGTCTCTCCTCCCGCAGCTGCAGCTGGCTGTCCAGTCAGACACAAATACGTGAGGCAAAACTGCTTCCACTTAAAGAAAAGCAACAGATGTGAAATATTTACAAATTTATTAAAGTCCCAAGCTCTTAAATCAATGTAGAACTTGGCCACGATTTTAACCCTCCTGCTGCCCTTCGGTCAAAATGACCCATGAGGCCTCAGTTTTTCATTTTGGTGGTGGTTTTGAAATATATTTTTCACTAGCAGAAATTATATTTTAGATAGATTTAATTTTTTGCAAGAAAGGAAGGAATGGGATCATTGAGGTGTAAAAAAATTCATTTGAAATAGGAGTTATGTTAGATTATATGTTACTTTTTAAAAACAAATTGGTCCACACAGCCAGACTGGAGTCCAGTTCATCAATAGTGTTTATCACTATCCCTAATATCAAGAAAGTAGACAAAATGTCAGGAATAAATTTCACCAATACAAACTGTGGCTCTAAGAGTAAATGTAAAATATTATAAGTTACTTTTATTCTAGCAGGGTAAGGTCACAAGTGTAAGCGAACAATGCCAGCCTCTGTTCATCTTTAAATTGTCATTTAGCAGAAGTAAAAACAACATGAGGAAAACACTTCATGCACCACATAACAAAGCTGTTTTTAAACTCCAAATCCTGAGTTTTAATAACCAAGAAAACTCTTTTAGGAATTTTAAAACGTTTGTTTGTCCATACGAGATAATTGAGCTACAACTTCCTTTCTCTTGTCAAATCTTCTCTGGATCTGCAGTTTTTAGTCCAAGAACCCTTTAAGAAGCACATCTTCTATTTTTAAAAGTAATTAAATTTAAAATATTATATGTTACAACGACCTGCCATAGGGTGTGCGTGTTTTTCACACATTCGTTAAGAAATAAATGACTGTGAAACAAAGCATGCAGGAATTTGAAAAAGACTCTTCCATGACCGAGTGCATACCTGCTTGTGTGAAGCTGCAGCCTGACTCGTATTATTCTGTGTCTGGAGGAGGGGCTGCGCTGACGTCTGTGCCTTCTGTGACTGGAGAGCTGCAGCTGGTTGGGAGAGGTCTAAGCTGACTCCTGCAGGACGTCAAACAAACCTTACACATCACTTCACAACAGGGACATGACTTGCATTTACTGTATGTAAATATGTCTCATTAAAATGCGCTAAAGATACCCTGAAAGCTTGTACCCCAACGTGATTTAAAACAGGCACAAAAAACTGACATCACCTGAAGCAGTCACGTAGAAAGAGGGAGAATTAGAAAAAAAACTCCAGTCACTACGGGGCTATGGTTAGGTTACTTTAATTTGAATGTGTCTCAACCTGCGTGTTTGATCTGTTCCTGTTGAGAATTGGTGCATTTAATATGCGCACAAAGGTTTAGAGGGACCTATGCATATAGGAACGTTGTTTTAATTAAAAACAGACAGGAGAATAGAGACAGAGTGTCGTACATACCCACAGGCTGAGCTGCACCACCGGGGAGATTAGCCCGCTTGCGAGGGGTGAGAGCAGCAGGCTGGATGGGGAGGATGCCAGCAGCAGGCTGAGTGTGCACCGCTTTGGGTCTCTGACGAGGGGTGATGGAGGTTTCGGTGGTGGGAATAGGGTCTGTCAGTCTGACAACAAAAGGAGGAAGGAGCATTTCTTGTTAATCAAGGAATATGTTATGAGCGTCAAAATACCATCCATCTGCTTTCTATGGGATGAATCTTGTGCCAGCAGGAATTGAATTTGAATTGCTCAGATTGAATCTGTATGTGCATGATTTGAAATAGAATGCATTGGTTTGAAAATGAATTTTACTAAATTGAAACTGAATTTAATGATTTGAAACTGAGTTTCAAGTTTTGTATCTGAATGAATTTGCTTTGAAAGTGTATTTTGGTTTTTTAACAATTCAGTTTGACTACTTTCACTTTCAGTTCCCAAATTCAGATTCTTGTGTCACATCCTGGTCCTTGAGAAAGCCAGCCAGAGTAATCAAACACAGATCTACAGATTTACGTTTCACTTCAATGAAGTTTCCCTTCTGTATGTAACAGAGTTGATGCAATCCACCATAAAAGTGACAAAAATAGAGAAAGTTATTTTATTGCAGCGATTAATTTTACCTATATGTAGAAAATGTTACAATTACATCACATCATGGATCACATATTGATCAGATGCTGCTGCTGACTGATGCATGATGTCATGTAAATGTAATATTTTTTATAGGTAAAATGAATCACTGCAATAAAATGGAACGGAGTACCTCAGTCCAGAGAATTACGGTAAATTATGGAATAATCTGGAGGATAACGTTAAAAAAGCCAGATCAATGTGTATATTTAAGAAAATGATAAAGGTAAATCTGTTGGAGAAATATGTATAAGTATAAGGCATGAATTGTTACTCAAGAAGGAATTAAACCTTTATTGTTTTTTCTTTCATTTTTTTGGACGTTGTAAATTGAAGATTTTCTTTGATTGAATTTATTTAAGGAATAGGGGCAGAAATCACAAGATTCTTTTCTTCTTCTGCTACCTTTCATTTAATTTGATTTGTTTGTTTTTTTTGTATGTTGAATTTATGTTGTTTTGTTTTAAATGAATAAACTTTATAATTAAAATTTAAAAATAACTTTTGTCACTTTTACAGTGGATTGCATCAACTTTGTTACACTCTGTTATTAAAACAAAATACAGTTTCGAAGCAAATTAATTCAAATTCAAATCATTAAATTCAGTTTCAATTTAGTGGAATTTATTTTCAAACCAATGCATTCAATTTCAAATTTTGCACATTCAGATTCAATCTGAGCAATTTAAATTCAGTTCCTGCTGGCACAAGATTTATCCCATAATTTTCTTCGACCTCAAAGAGGCAACAACTCTTAACCACTACAACACTGTGTCATCCAGTCAAAATGATGACTGTAAGTAATTAGCTCAACAAAACATAGCATTATTACAGCTTTAAATGTACGACAGAGTAATGGGGTCATGTTTGCCTGGGTTTAGTTTGGCTCTTCTTTGCTGCTGCAGCCTCACTTGCTGTGATTGGCTCAGGGAGTTTGGAAGGAATTGGAGAATTCTGGTGAAGGAAAAGGAGAAAGCTGACATGAAAATCTGCACAGGGCTACAGGACAAATGGTAAAGTTAAGAAAGAAAAGTGCGCCACATTTATCTCGTTGTGCCTACTAATATCTGTTTGTATTTGATAAAGATGTGCTGATTTTTCTTTTCTTACATCTATGTAGGTTAGGCAAATAGGTCGCTGCAGATTAGAAGAAGAAAATCAACTTTTGATGAGATAAAATGAATCAAATCAAAAATATTTTTGATGCTCCTGGATTTCAGAAACACTGACCTTCACATTCTGAACAGGACAGGTCCGCTGAGCTAGTTTAAAAGCAAAGTAGGACGCTTGATAGATGTCAGGTCTGTTGTCTGGGTTTGGCTCCAGCATGTACCCTGAAAACACCGTTGTGGAGAACTAAAGTATAAAATCCAACAACAACAACAAACAAAATCTAACAAACAAGGTGAAAGCCGCCACTCTTTAAAGCTTTAATGATAATGATGATCAAAAAGGTACTAACGAATGAGGCAGTGAAGGTCGTAAGAGTAGCGGGAATTATCTGGAATGGTGAAACTGCCATCACAGATGGCCACCTGGCTTTCACCAAAGGGGAGAGTGAAGAAGCACAACTTGTACAGCAAACAGCCCAGCGCCTGGAGAGGAAAAACCGCATGCAAACCCAGTCAAAGTAGAGATGAGGAGAAGAAACAGACCATCAGGAGAAGCCCCACTACCATCACCAAGACATGAACAAATCCTTCAACAGTTCACATTAAAATTAGAAATACTTGAAGATCTGTTTGATTAATGAGAGCCCATGAACTGTGATTATGTGTTACAGTCATATCACTCACCCAGACATCAGCCTTTGTTGTGATAATCTTGTTATTGTAAAGGTTTACCATTTCTGGAGCACGATATGATAAAGTTGTGTATCTGAAACATGACGGTAAGAAAAGTAAATAAAGTAAGTCTTTGTAACATGATTAAAAACAGTTAAAAAAAGCACTAACTTCTTGATCTCCTCCTCCACCACGGTCACTCCTTCAGTCTGCGGGTTCTGAAATTTGTTTGTGGCGCTGCCGAAGTCACACAGCACATAATGACCTTTGTCGTGCAAAAGGATGTTCTCCACCTGCAGATATACAAGAACGCAGACACAATGAGCTGCGGGGGTGAAGACAAAAAACACAGACTGAAACCAGGGTTGTTAAAAGGGCGGGAGTCGAACCTCCAACCATTTCAGACACTTCCACTTCAGCAAATCTTCACAACAATGCTTCAGGGGAGGAATGCTGCAGACTGAGCTCCAGGGAGGAGCTTTGTACAAATGGGCGGTGCTTTGTACCATTTAGGCAGCTCCACATTGGCTACCAGAGGAGATTCAAGGATTTCTCAAACATGCATGAATGAGTTGAAGCAACACTCTGGGTATGTTTTTGATGAGGAAATTACATCATAACATGATATAAAGCTTAAAAAAGTCGATTTTGCATAAAACCCCCATTAACCATCTCTGCCAAACCCTAATCCGGGTTGGCCCACACCTTCAAAAGGTTTTAATCAAAACATCTGACCTGCAGTAAAGTCATGTTTCCTTCAATATGGATCAATCATATTAAGAGACTGTTAGTTCAAATCAGTGCAGCTACTCAGCTCTTTTTTCAGAAGGTGAGTTTATGTCAAGCATTACAATAAGTCGCATTCTCCTCTCCTATTAGCTCAATGAATAATTAAACACAGCTTCCTCTCACACGCCAACACACTAATCATGATTTTTCAAGAGACATCTCAGCAGGGTTATCTATAGTAGGCACAGCTGCTGAGTTAACACAATTAGACTGGATGTCATCTTCTTTTGTCCACAGTACAAAGAGCTGCATTATCGGTCGTTTAGACATAAACCTTTAAAAAGCTGAAGCAGCAGTAGCTGATACTCCCTGGGTTTAGGCTTGTGCCTCTTGCTGAGCATGAAAAGCACAAGGCTCAACTTTACATAAACATGATCAAACATCATCTTTCATGTCACCTTTAGATCTCTGTGGACGATTGGCGTCTTCCGCTGGTGCAGGCGGGAGACGGCGTCACAGGTGTCACAGAAGATCTGAAGCACCTCAGACTCTGTGAATCCAGTTTGAAGTCTCTGATTCATCAGATTGACCACCTGCCCTCCTGTAACCGTAACAGCCAGCAGAGCAAACAGTCACGCATCTCTGACGTTTGTCACCCTTCTCGGTGGCATCCACACACGCCTGCGTTTAGCGCTCACCCTTGCAGTAGTCCATCAGTATGAGAACCTCCCATACGTCCCTGGATCCCATCGCTGTGATGCTGGAGTCCAGATATCCAACAATATTCTTGTGACCCACGAGATCTTTCTGCAGGAACACACAAATAACAGCAGAATTTTGAATGGTCAGTGGGAGGTGCAGTGCGAGGCCATCCCCTGCAGAGGGAGCTGCAATGGAAAGACCAGACCAGAAAGCTGTTAGGTAACAAAAAAATGTCAAATATTGCAGCTCTGGTGAAAAACTGTCTGCGTGTGTGGAGAAATTAAAGAAAAAAAAAAAAGAAAGGCTGCAAATTAAAAACACAAAATGAGGCCAACAATGTGCATGATCTTGTTGAATGTTTGTCAAATTATGCAATCTGCCCTTTTTCGCAAGTTGAACATCAAATGCTTCCTTCCTTCCTTCCTGTGTTCCTTAACACAAAGAAGGCAAAGTTCTGTGCAAAATGTAAACAGAAATACTGCTAAACTTTCTAACATCACTGATTATTTACATTTTTAGAAAATATATTGTGACATTCATGTTGTTTGTAAAAGCAGAAATACATGTTTTATTTTTCATCATTACAAAGTTTAAAAAAAGAGGCAGATTTTTATTTGTTTACACAAGTAAATAGACATAATTAATTTAAAATTTGCCAAAGATCTGAAGGTAAGTAATAATAATAATTTAAAAAAAAATCACAACCAAAACCTTTCCCCCGTTAGCTAGGAATAAAGAATAACTAATAACAACGGCTAAGTTAAGTAGTTGTTTAATATAATGGTCATTGCCAAAGCAACAAAAATATAAAAGCAATGCTGATGGCATAGTGCACGTGTAGTTTTCTTTCCAGATATTTTTGTTTTTCAGACGTCAGCGCATGGTGCTACCCAACAAAACCACAGACAAAAAGAAACCGTTTAATCTCAGCGACTCACCATAATCTGAATCTCCTGCTTGCACACCTGCAGATCGTGCTCATTGTTGACATACATCCTCTTCAGTGCACAACGCACCCCCTGGTTTGTTTTCACGAGGAACACGATTGCAAAACCACCTACAAGAAAGACAAACAACACTGTCAATCAGATGTGTTACATGCTGTATTATATTGTGAGATATACCAGCTGGGGAGAGATTTTAAATTAAACAAACAAATGTTCTTACAAGATTATAAAAGCCATTATTATTATTTTAACATTTTAGCAGGCATGCTATTTTTTCCCCTTTTCTGCCCCATTACTTCAGCAACTGTTAGTGTCCGTCCTCATAGTTTACATCCGTGCAGGCAATCAGGACCACACGGTGCTGCCTTAGCGTTATCTATTAGTCATGCCATTGCTGAAGGGTTTACGAAGAGGCCTACAGTGAGGCCTAACCATCTGCTGGTATGGCTCAGACTACAGATTCACTCTGCTTTGTTTAACTATGACAGCATTGTCATTTTCAGACAGCTTTTACTCCAAATTAACTGTATGTAATAATACGGTGGTATTTCTGCGTGGATCTGCGAGGAACATGTAAGGACATGGAGGAGAGAGTGGATTCTGATTAGCTGGCATTGCTGTGTTTTATTATTTAGACATTCAAATTAAAATAAAAAAAAAAATTGGCAGCCTGACACAAGAGATTAGGGTCAGAAAATACCAGAACTGCTCCATCTTTGGTTCAGAAAACCACATGAATTGGAACATACCATTTAAATTTCACTCCTGCATTGTTCTATTTTATTTAACACAATTATATTATTGAATCTGAAGTCATTGTGTCTTTGACTTAAAATTTGACAAGCAATGCTCTTGCCCGTTTGCCTAAATATCCCACGAAGCAACAAATTTCAATAATTTAATGTAACCATTGGGTGAACATCTACAACTTTTTAGAGTCAACCTTGTTCAAGTTGGCCACCACAGCTAAGCAAACACAAAGTAAGCTCAGTCAATTTTACAGATATTGAGGGGAAACATTGCTACGGTAATAGCTGAGAGTCCATCCCAACACATACTCAAAGAGCTTACAGATCTGTTTTTAAACCTTGGCTATTGGAGTCAACAGTGTAATTTTTAGCATAATATCTCACGAATCACTGGATGGATTTTAATTAAGCTTTCAGGAAATAATCATCTGGTGTACATCTACAACCGCCATTGCTGATCTACTTCATCAAACACAAAAATGGCTAAAACTAAGCAATATTTGAATGCAATGAGCTAAAATTTGTTGTGGTTGTAGCTGAGATTTATCCTCACTGTCTGAGGTTATCACATTTGTTTTCTTACATTTATACACCATAAATCCAATTGCATGACCCTGGGGAAGGCAGATTTCTGTGTTAAACTTGCAAACTGTAAAAGAATCAAATGACATCACCTGGTCTTTGTGAGCTCCTCACCTTCAGCAATGATCTCCTCAACAGTGACTTGGTGCCGCCCGACAGTGAAGGCTCTCCCGATGAAATTTCCGCCTGCATGACTGGACCCGGAGCTGCCTCCTCCTCCTCCTCCTCCTCCAGAACCAGGCCCGGAGCTGACCAACTCCCGACGAGAATCAAAGAACTTCCTCATGTTGTCAAAATGACAGGAGCGACGAGTATTTTTGGCTTCACTTTCACACAGCCACAACAAAGGAGCCGTTTCCTGTTTCAAGACTTATTATTGCACGGGTATAAATATAACGCTTTCAAGTCTGTTTTATAATATGAAGCATTTGTCGGTCTTCATCGTGATGTTGATAGAATCTATGATTATTTTTTGGGGTGGGATTTTTTTTCCCATTCGCTAGCAGAGCGGTTGCGACTAGCAGAGTTATGCAAGTGAATTACACCATCCAGGAGGTTAAAGCATCTCCGGAGAAAGTGTTTCTTTCACAAGCCATCCAGCTGTTCGTGCTCGGCTGCTGAGGAAGGAAAAAAAAAATAGGTCCATCGTCTCCATCTCGACCAGCCATTAAGCTAGCTAAGTGCTAGCTACTTACGCTTTATGACATTTCGTGTAAGGTTATCCAGGTTATCCTCTGAACATGATGTCTTCAGTATTTGTCAGCCGAAAATCTGTTTCCATCTTCAGTAAGCTGTATTGTAGCCGCTGTCGCTTTGACGCCTCGTAGCTAAACCACCCGTGCGGCTATTTTAGTTGCTTCCATTTTTTTAAAGGATAAAAACTGTGATTTTTAGTTAGCTTTCTCCGCTCTACGCGACGCAGCCCTGACACGCGCCTACAGTTACGCCTGCCGCGACTATAGCGGCAAATATGACTCCCACGGAATAAGAACATCCACAATTACGTTCCACTGAGGTTTCAACCCAGCGGTGTAATCTCTGCAACCACAGCAATCTTTGGCTGCCAGCGATATCGCAACATCCTAGCTGTTGCTGTTGACGCGCGAAAGGAACTCTGGGTATTGTAGTTCAGAGCGCAGCTTTGCTTTCTACGGCAAGCTGAATGCATTTCAGACGTACACCATCCAAGAGATGACATATTTATCAATATATAAGAATGATTTTCAAGTAGAAGTATCCACAAAGTAGCAATTTTATTTATGTTTTAATGTAATAGTACACGTTTGAAGAAAATGACAAAAATGTGTCTAAATGGCAAATTGCTGTTGTGCTTTGAACGCCTCACTTCCGATTGAGACGATGTTCCGTAAACGCTGCAGCAGCACGCGGAAGAAGCATCCAAGTGGGCGGGGCGTGAGAGCTGGTAGACGGTTAAAAGGTTCATTTATCAGTGCTGCCAAAGTGCTACCTGGCAGTTGGGCTTCAGGCTGAGTGAATTGTCCTTGTAACAGGTAAGTTAGTAGTTCAGTTTGTCCTCAGGCGCGTTTCACAGCTTAACTTGATAAACTCCAGACGGGCGGCTGTTTTCTGTCTGACAGCAGCTGGGTGTGACCGCTAACTTTAACTCCCAAGTTTAACTTTTTTTTCACCCTCTGCTTCCTGAATTAGTTTCGCTCGTCGTGACTTATTCTTAAAATTAAAACTCATAGTCTTCTGAGCAGTTACATCTCAAGATGGGGGCAAAACAATAAGGACTTCATGGAGGTTATGTTTCCATTTTTATTTTTATTTATTTATTTTATCATTTAAAGGCACATTTCCTTCTTTATCGTTCAGTTTCCAAGAAAAAGTTGACATTCGTGCTTTATAATCCTGTTTCCTCTTTCCGAGTAAAAATAAAAGCATTCATGCGATCTTAATTTTAGCATTTATTGTTCTTAGGGAAAAAGAGAAACTTTACTATTTGCTTCATGTTAAATAGAGCAGATTTGCATGGATTCAAATATCCACCCAGGGTCCATTATGGCACATGTGGTAAGAATTTGAATACGGTGCAATGAGTTATGGATCAAGATATTTGACAAAGAAAAAATAGTTTTTGTTGTTTTTCTCAGCAGCTCAATAAATGTTGCTTTAGTCTGCACTTTACATGTTAATTGAAGAGTAGGAATCAAATGCTTTATGTTTACACAACTATCTGTGTTTGATCAGTAAACGTTTCAAGAACTGGAGACCTCTTTCTGTTGTCTTTAGAAACTTTCATGTATTTGATTAGCACTGGAAAGAAGTTCTGTTAGTGTACTGCAGTGCTGAACTTTTCCCACATTATATATGTTTTTATCTTCGACGCACTCTAATGGAGTCATCAGCAGCTGGTTGCAGGTAGGAGTGAATTCCCACTATGCTTCCTCTCCGTGGAGCAATTACAGGTGTGTCCAAACAAACATGGGCTTAATGAGATTAGCTCCTGCACACCAGCAATGAGGGACGAGCAAATAAATGTAATGGAGAGCCTTATCTGAGAAAATGGACTGCGTGTAATATTGATCGAATGTTTAGCAGGTTACCAACGACAACAGTTTACTACCTCTGAGGATCATTTTTTCCCCCAACTGAGTTATACATTCATATTTTGGATTATTTTTGTTCTTTTTAAAGCTCTCTGGATCTCCTGAGTGGATCTCCATCATCTTCCTACAATGGCAGCAGTAAGTCTGTCTCAAGTTGTCTGCCTTAAGATTTGTCTTTTTCAGGTATTTGAAGGATCAGTTACTGCATTGAACACTGCGTAGAAATTTTTGTACATGAAGTAAGGTTGCGAGGTGATTACATAAGATTGCTTTTGCAACTAAAGTGTTAGAAATTAGTGAGGTAATGTTTTTTGGGCCATTTTAAAATGACATCGGCACAATGTGTCGATTCCATCCTAATTTTTATTTACCTTTTTTGACATGCAGCTGTCTGCAGTTTAACCTGCAGAAGATGCTTCTGTAACAATTCCTCGTTCATTCATCCGTCTATCTCTGTACCCGCTTGATGCTGTACAGGGTCGTGGGGAGCTTTTGCCTATTTCCAGCTATCATTGGGCGAGAGGCGTGGTACGCCCTGGACAGATCCCCATTTCATCGCAGGGCGCTCTGAGTTCATTTGTTCTTTATATTTGCTTTATTGCTCTCTTGTGTGAAGTTCTTTTTTTTTCTAATTGATCAACACAAAACTGCATAGTTCTTAAACTGTGGTCTAAATTTAGAAAGTAGCAACTCCAGTTTTTTACTCGTAAATAGATGAGTAACACTGTATTTAATTTTGAAAATTGATGAAAGTTCATGCTTGAATGCATTAAAATGAATAATGTCGAGCCGGTGTGTTTAAAAACTGAAATGCTGCAGTGCACAAGTATAATTGAAAAACGTTGGATTGCAGTGGGTCTTTTTTTTTTGCTCTTTGTCTCAGTTTATTTGATTAAAAGCTGATTGTAAATGTGTCCTCCATGAGCAGATTGGAAAACGTGGCACCGTGACTGAAGCGGCCGGTTTCAACGCCGACGCCGATGCCCAGAAGCTGAAAGACGCCATGAAGGGAGCCGGTGAGCAAACGACCATCAAACCGTCATCTGCTGAAGATATTTCTGAAAATCTGTTTGGAAAGGGGGAAAAAACAACAACAACAACAACCACGTCCTCCCAAGCTCCAGAGGAAAGTTTGGAGAGCTGCTCAGCACTCGTACTGTCATGACAGCTTTAAATTTCCCCATTTTTTTTTTTTAACCGTCCATTTTTTTCTCTGACCCTTTCCCTTCGCCCCTCGCTCCAGGTTCGAAGCCACATTAATCCTGACGGTGCTGATCGCGCATTCCCACCACTCTGAAATTATGCTTCGCGCTCAGCTGACAAACATTCAGACAAATATTTCCCTCCCTGTCAGCATATCGTCGTGAGGAATGTTGATACTGTTAGGGTTTAGTCTAATCAAATCCCCCTGACTCTAGTTTGTGGTCTTTTGCTGACGGTTCCTGTGCCAGCAGCAACAAACGGCACAGTGTCAGGATAATCTCCGAGCCTGCAGCAGTGGTTCCTGCTTTCATGTCTTACTCAGCCTGGTTAAACCCTTGCTGTTAATCTGAGTTAAAAGTATGGGAATAGAAGATCTTTGTTATTTGTACCTGATAGCCTTTCGATGCTCTTTTCAGGGACGAACGAGGCAGTGATCATTGATGTCATTGCGCATCGTACCATTGCCCAGAGGCAGCAAATCAAAGAGGCCTACAAACGAACCGTAGGAAAGGTGAGCAGTTTGACTGAGCAAACACAGTCGTTTTATTGGTAATTTTTTTCTTTTATCTTAAACAAACAACGAAGCAGGGGAAATGGGGAAAAGATATCCAAGCTACTATAAAATACTGAATAGCAGCCTTGATGAATTGTTTGCATAAGCGCTGTATGTGTTATCTCCTGATGTGTACACTTCATCTTTTGTTTTACTGTAGGTGTGATATTAACGTAATGGACATAAAGTCCAAGTTATTTATTGACTAAAAAGGAGACACAGCTTTGAAAGGAGTGCTTTTAAAGTCTGAGAAGAGCCAGTGATCTGTTAGAAAGGGGAAGTTTCTCTTGTCTAACTAACAAACACAGATCCCGGAGAAGAATGTTGCCCAATGTCCATATCTTTGCTTCACTAAAGCGGATCAATATATTAACTGAAAGGGAAGTTTCTGCTGTGTTGACATAATGAAATAACAAACGAGTCACTTCATAGCCTCTGGTAAGAAGTCAATAAAGTTTTGTGCGAGGAAGCTGTAGGAAAAGTGAAGTTTTGAGTGCAGGCAGAAAGAGTGAGTCATGCTGACGACACCCACATGTGGTCACACAGGAGGCTACTCTGTCCACCAAAATGTTTCCAGAAACCACACCCTCTCTTCTGGAGGTGAGGAGACATTGAGCACAGCTGGAAAGCAAAAAAATCTCTCCTCTTAAAGCAATTTTATTCAGATAGAATGTCAAAAAAAAAAAAAAAAAACCAAGAGTGGTATTCTACAAAATCGACCTTTTTTTTAGCTTTATATCTTGTTATAATGTCATTCCCTCGTCAAACACCAACATGGTCTTGCTTTGACTCATTCATGCATGTTTGAGAAATCCTTGAATCTCCTGTGGTAGCTATATGGAGCTGCCTAAACACTAAGCACCTCCCTGGAGCTCAGTCTGCAGCTGAGCTCCTGCCCCACAGAGCACCTCCGAAGCATTTATTGTGAGATGTGCTGAAGTGACAGTATCTGAAATGGTAGGAGGTTCTTAAAGAGACAGAGGTAGACTATGATACAAAGTTAATTTTATTTTTGATATATACAGCATTTACATAACTGAAGATAACATAGTTAAGTAATTGTGAAATAGTATTGAACTATGCACCTGGAAACCCCCCCCCCCCCCCCCCCCCCCCCCCCCAAATTAAAGAAGCTACTAATTAAAATCCTTTCCTCCCTGCAGGATCTGGCTCATGATCTGTCCTCGGAGCTGAGTGGAAACTTCAGGAGCGTCGTCCTGGGTCTGCTGATGTTGGCGCCTGTCTATGATGCACACGAGCTGAAAAATGCAATAAAGGTTCAACTTCTTCCATTACTGTTTTTTCAACATACGTCGGTTGGTATGGTCTTAATACTCAGAAATATCTCCAAAGCATAAAGTCAAGACAGCTGAGAACCAAAATAGTCTAATAAACACCTACTAACATGCTGAAAATGTAAATATTTTTGTTACTCTGGTGTGCCATAATCAGTCATCTGACTGATTAGTGTTTAGTTTGGAAAAATCGGTGTTAAGATAATGGTTTTTATTTGTTAAAGGAAACCTAACAAGCTTTTAAATCCTTATTTTTCAAATGCAAATCCATCAGTTGTGGTCTGTATAAAGTGGAACTGCAATGCTTTGGTCTGAATTCTTCCATATTGTAACTCCACAAGCCCCCCCTTTCATCCCTTTTTTCTGAAGTGGGTCTATGATCGACACATTTTGAGGCTGTCTCTTTAAATCCAGACGATATGCTTCACACCCTGCCAGCCTTCAGAGGGGTTTAACTATCTTGCTGCGCAGAAACTTTTAATTTACTAATGAATTAAAAGATGTCAACAAGAGAAGAGTTGTCCATCCATCCTTACATGTTGGAGCCAGAGGAGAATGATGATGATCAAATTGGATACATGTTAGGCCCAGACCTTCCGTGGTAGTTCCATCACAAATAATTTGCTGTAAGTGTTCAGAAAACATCATAGAAAACAGAGAAAATGAAACGATTGAAAAATATACTTCAAACAGAATATAAAGATATTTATGCAGCACCACGAGAAACTGAATTAAACTGTTCTACCTCCTAGAGACTCAAAGTGTTCAACAAAATGTATTGAGTGGCTGAGAAAGTGGAGTAGTAGTAAAATTACAAAAATAAAATAGTGACTTGTCTTTTAAGCTACTTCTTCTTTATTTCAAACTGTTAAATTCTGATGTTTTCACAGGGAGCTGGAACCGAAGAGGCCTGCCTCATCGACATTCTGGCCTCAAGAAGCAACAATGAAATAAAAGTCATCAATACGGTCTACAAGACAGGTAACCGTCTTCTCCAGGAATAGAAATCCTGTTGTCGGGTCACTTTATATCTCTGTGTCTGTCGCTGCCTATGGTCTCTTTATGACGTGATACGTGATATTGTTTAGCAGCGACTGAAGCCCCATTATCAGAAGCAGTGGATGCTTTCAATTATTCATGATAGGAGTTGCAGCTCTTTTTGTGGCAGGTCATTGTTTTTCTGTATTTAGTGTCTTTGGAAGTGTGTGTGTGTGTGTGTGTGTGTGTTTGTTAATGAGCCTTAAGTCATCACATGCTGTATGAATAAATAACTATGTTGTTGACTTTAGTTATCACTTGCAGAACTTGGTTTTGAGTCGTCCTTCAATTCTTTATACTTAAATTTCAAAGAGGCAGAAATTTTTTTGTGTGTGTATGTGTGGGTGGGGGGGTGTATAGAAAAGGAGAAATGACATTGGCAGGTTTTAAAA